GCATCAAGACATCACGTCCTTTCTTCAAAGCCCAAGGTCACATATTTTGAAGGTTTACGCGATCACAATTAGAGATTGTGTCCGGACTGTAACTTTGTCATGCATCTAAGGATTTTAAAATAACTTGGCATCAATGTCTTTAACACCAAAACGACGTGTCGGGTCCAAGACCCATGTCCCTATTTCCAAGGTCAATGTCAAACTTATAATTTGAAGTACCGGTATGTTCACATTCCTGTCTGGACTGTAACTTTGTTGTTCATTGAAGGATTTTGAAATATCTTGGCAAAAGTTTCTATCACATCCAGATAATGTGTCGCGCCTAAGGCCCATATCACTACCTTAAAGGTAAAAGTCACACTTATTGGTTGAAGGTATTTATTTGTTTCCAAGCTGTAGCTTTGTCATGCATGGCAGGATTTTAAAATTACTTGGCACTTAAGTAAATTTTGGACTTGTGAGAGGCTAAAAATGACCCCAGGCCGATCATAATGTAACGTGTAACCAGCTGAAAGGCCTTTGACTCTATCTCAATCCCTTGAAAAGTAGCAGCACTTTGAAATAAATTTTGATGGAAAAAATCGAGGCAAAATAGTGAGTTTTGGCAATTATGAGATGCCCCCTCGTTGCCATGGTAACAGGAAATTTAAGACTGAGCATGTCGTTACAAAGGCAATGGTCCAGTCAACATTTGTGCCAAGTTTGATTAGTATTGAAGCATTTTTCATAGTTTCATAGCACTTTGAACTTGTAACGGGAAGCTTTTCAGTGAAAACGGCCATTTTTCACAATATGCTCATGGGGGAAAGGCTTAAGAAACCTTTCCCGGGACATTTGTCACTTTTGCATGCCAGCTCTTGTTTTGATATACCAATCCATGTTTTAATTTAAAATGAATACAATGATCAAACCTAGAATGGCATGCAGTATTTTAAATTTTGCTGTTTGTCGTTTTTTTTTCCCTTTTCTATATTTTTTTCTCACCATTCCTGCTTTATTTTTATATTTCTGCATAGTCAAAATATTTTTTGGTGCTAAAGCTTGACTCTGAGATAATTTTGTTCTGGTTTTGAATATCGCTCCCAGAGGGGACTTATAACCAATGCATAAAATGCACAATATATAAACTCTTAGTAAAATTAGTTGGACTTATTCCTGCGTTTTGGGATAATTCTGGTGAAATAAAGCCTGTTGAATATGCATGAATGTGATAAGATAGAGAAAATAAGAATCCCAAGGAAACCCTACACAGCAAAATTGAAAATGTTGCAGACTCAGTTTGATTGAGCCTGTTCATGGACGGTACTGACAAGTGCCATCCACGCCCCCTAGCACCGGCTTAAGCAGAATTTAACATTTAACATGAACTGGTAAAATTTTGAATTTTGAAACACTTCAGATGTGTTCATATGGCGGTTATCATGGAACCTTCAATTTGACACATAAGTGCCATTCCATGAAAGGCGGCATATGGTCCTCAAGAAAAAATGCGTGTGCCCTAAACGAGAAAACAATGGGTGGAACTAAATAAAATGCAATTTTGAAAGGGGATCAGAGGTTATTAAAAAGTTATGAAGACTGGTTTGCAAAAGTCTGTTAGATCATTGTCTTATCATGTTTTAAAAAACACAACAAAATACATGGCTGCGATGGTAATGGAAATTGGGTTTTGGTCATTAAATCATTTTATTGCAAAACACAATTTTACAAATCTTTTCTAAAGCAGGGTACTTGTAAGCAATTCTCAATATTGTATCCAAAAATACTAAGCTTGATATATACTAAAAACATCTTTATTCAAATCGTCCATAAATTCACATATTTCAATATTGGCTACAAAAAGAAAAAGAAACGTGACTTATATACATGTGTTAAACAAATAGAAATATGTCAAAAGGACACTTATGTCCCAACTTCGTTTGCCTGCCACAAAGGCATTTTAACATATAAATAAATACATATGCATATTTCATAAGGTCGAGTGTTTTATAAGTAATATAATAGTACTATAACTAATAGTTTCACAAAAAAAAGTATCACTTTGGTGAAACTCTATAGGTACTAATAAGCCAAGAATTTCAAAGTGATCTTGACCTAATGACCTCCAAATTTACCAGGGCCATGTATTTGTTATGGGCAATGCCACCACTAAGAGCATACCCATATGATGTCATGTACACCTGTGGTGGACATGTTGGAAGACAAGGGCAAATAAATAAGAGTTAAAATTGAAAGATCCTTTCTTTGACCTTTAATTTGATTAACAATAGATCTAACAACAACTGACAAAATTCATAGCTTATTACTTCTCAAGAATATGATAGAACAAGGACAACAGGACATCACAGTCATGCATATGTACAGACTGTCACACAGACTATGTACCAGCCCATCACAGTATTCTCTCCACATTTTAAAGTGGGATTTTTAATCTAACACTAATAATGCAATGCACCTGATGTAAATCTTCCCTGTCCAATAAACTATATATACATTGTATTTATTGGGATTGTCTAACATACTGTAAAATGGTAAAAGGTAAAGGTCTTGTTTATTAAAGTGTCACCCCTACTGTAAGGGTCAGCGATTTCTTACTTATGAGACACCATTTGCTTGCATACCATGTACTTCCCAACTCCTACCACTATGTCAGGCGCCAGTCGGATAGAAATCGGTAACCATTCATTTTAACTACCTCGGGGCTCACGAAGCGGCCATTTCGGAATGAGTCCCACGAGAAACATTCATCCTGCAATTAACACTCTCCGTGGTGCTCAAACCTTTGACCTCCATTCCGAAGTCGGAAGCCTTAACCACTAGGCCAACGGTTCTGGTGTACTGTATGTAAAGATGTAAAATTATTGAGAATATACTGAAAATCTTTACAATTATTTAAGACTTAATTTAATTTGATCAAATATTCCTTTCTAATCCATAGAGGTGTACAGATACATATACATGTAAATGTTCATCTTTGTAGAAAATGAGAAAAAGACCAATATTTTCACCTTTTTGGCACAAAATTAAACAAAGCATATACTTACTTGAAAATTTAATAATCTCTATATATTGTGTACCTTAACTTGTAAGTAAGTTAAAGATATAATGATCAAAAGAACAACAAAAGCTGTCTAAGGAGCAATATGCTACACTTTCCTCAGCACTTGATGGTATTATAAAACCAGAGGCACAATTCTGAAAATCTGCTTAACATAATAATCTGTCCTCGACAGTACAGAATTAAACAAGAGCGATCAGTAATCACATGTGTCGCCTCATGATGGCCAATTTCATATTGGGAGACAAAGTTTGTGACAGACGGACAGACAGACGGACAGTGCACAAATAGACTTGGTACTGATCATTCCTGTAAAGTTTGGATAAAATTGCACCAGTAGTTTATGAGGAGTAGTCCAGACAAGCTTTTGCGTATCTGGCAACACACAGAAAAAACACCTTTTTATCAAAAGGCAATAACTCAGCCAAAAATCATTCAACCCGAAAACCCTTGCAATATGCGCAAGGACTTGAGCTACAGATCAATCCTGTAAAGTTTCATTGAAATTGCTTTAGTGGTATAAGAGAAGTAGTCCGAACAAACTTTAAAAATGAAAATTATTAAAGGGCCATAACTCTGACAAAAATCATTGAACCGGAAAATGCTGATAATATGCACAACTACTCTTGGTACTGATCATTCCTGTAAAGTTAAGATGAAATTGCACCAGTAGTTTATTAGGAGTAGTCCAGACAAGCTTTTGTGTATCTGGCAATACACAGAAAAATACACCTTTTTTATCAAAGGGCCATAACTCGGCCAAAAATCATTCAACCGGAAAACCCTTGCAATATGCGCAAGGACATGAGCTACAGATCAATCCTGTAAAGTTTCATTGATATTGCTTTAGTGGTATAAGAGAAGAAGTCCGGACAAACCTTAAAATTAAAAATTATTAAAGGGACATAACTCTGTCAAAAATCATTGAACCGGAAAATGCTGACAATATGCACAACTACACTTGGCACTGATCATTCCTGTAAAGTTTGGATGAAATTGCACCAGTAGTTTATGAGGAGTAGTCCAGACAAGTTTTGTGACGGACAGACGGACAGACAGAGAAGTGATCCCTATATGTCGCCACTACTCCGTAGAGGCGACAGAAAAAGGGCATCTTAGTGACAGATTTTAAATTTAAGGAAAATAATTAAACAAATATTACCTTCAGGTTTATCTGCCCTTAAGAAATGCATTCCATTTTTTACAATGAACAAGTATTGCAAGTTCAAATGAATATCTTTGATGGATTAACCTTAACATAAAAGTTAAGCAGTTAAAAAAACACTGAAATTAATCTAAACAAAAAAGTTAAGCAGGGCATAAAAAGGTAAAAAAAAAGTTGAAAAAGGTGCATAACTTTGCAAAATATAATTTCTGGATAACATGTCCTTTTGATTTGGCATCCTATGTTGATAATGAACACGTGTTTCTCGTTTGAACTCAATAGCTTTGGTAGTTTCTGCATCCACATATGAAGTTTCAATCTTATACATTGATAGGTTTTGAAATTATTGACAAGAAACAAAACTTTACTAAAAAGGTTTACAAACACTGACAACAATGCCAACATGTGGGTCATGACAATTACTCCTCCTTTTTCCTTGAAAATTGGACTTAAAATTGTAATAAAGTTCAACAACAAACAAGAGAACTGAATTAGATGTTGGCGCTCTTTTATCAATATCCAATTATTATAAATATTCAAAGTTAAACAAATGTTAAAAGGGGAAATTCTTTAAAAATATTGCATTCACATTTATCATTAACTCCTGTGACATAATTATTTATCAGATCAAAACCATTTAAATGATTATTTTAGTTTTATTTCTGTAAAGCTTGGTCAAAAACTATCAAATGGTTGCCATGTTGTTATCTCAAAAGAATTTTTGGATAATGATGATCATCATCACACTATAGACATCAGAAATCTTTAAAAGCTTAATTTCTTGTGCTCAGATAAAATAAAAATATCTATAGACCTTTTTGTAAAAGGTCTTTTGCAATTTAATGTATAAGTATAATTCTATATATCTGTATAAAAAATACTGTAACAAAATATGCACCATGACTTTACAACATTGCATAGCTACTTTCATTTACTAATTGCATAGTTCTATATTGCTATTTTCATCAAAGTTCATCTTTCTTTGACTTAGTTTTGGATTTATTTTTAGAAGGCTGTTCCTTCAATTGACAGTTACAATTACTATCATCTTTTGGCTGTTCCACTAACTCCCATGAATCATCAGGTTTGGTTGGAGGAGATTTGAATCTTTTAGAATATGTCTGAAATAAAGAAACAATTACCATGGAATTAATATTGTGTAAAATACATAAGCACTGACATTTATACCTTAATGTGCTATATCTTAAATGAACCTATCTATCATTCAATTAGTAAAAAACCTTTAATTAGGAAAAGTCAAAAATAAGAACTAATGGATCAATGAGCAGCAAAGACAGCACCAATGTGTAGGCTTACCTTGGTCTGCACTGGTCACATTTGTAGATTCAGACATTGCCAACAGGTTAAAAGTCAAGATGCACAAAGTTCAAGGAAGACTACTCTGATATAACCCTCTAAATTTATGCTAGCTATTCCAATGTGACAAATAAAGAGTAAACCCAGACTGCTACTCTCTACAACCCTGACCAGAGTCGGAGTTGTTTATAATGATGAATATCAACAGATTAAATAATGAACAAAGACTATCTAGTTTAGTTTTTGGTTTCAAACTTATAAGCTTTATGCCTAAGTAATCTGTGGTGAGGGCACAACTGTGTTATCTAATGATCATTCTGATTTTGAATACAAATAACAAGTTATTGCTTGCCAAAAATTATTCGTATATACATGTGTAACTATAGAGAGCACTCCTGTCAATTAAATGTCAATCAAAACTGCCTAAAAGTTCTTTGATAATAAAAACCAATTAATTTTAAGCATTTTCAAAGAGAATCACTTAATTCAACATTTTTTAACCTTTTTCCTGGCAGCAAATAAACAAAAGAACAGAGAATTCCAAATATAATAACTTGATAATAATTCTTAATTTTATTTCTTTATATAAATTTTGTTTTGTAAAAGTATGACCTTTCACTTGTAAGGTGCATGTGGTACAACAATATACCTTAAACAATATTTGTGACAGTAGAAGTTTCAGATGAGTACCTTAGTAGAACAAATCAAAGTGCTGCAGCACTGAATGCGACGGACATGCAACCGGAGAGACATTAAGGCTTCTTTTAGAAAAAAAAAAAACAAAAAAAAAACAAAACACAAAATATATAACAGAGAAAATTTGTTCCATACAAGTTCGAGATTTGTAGAGCAATATATTTTGTGTCCCAAATTGATATAATTCAGATTTTCTACTTTCAAGCACTTAAATACAGAATGAAATTTATGCCTAAAAACTCTGGTCAAACTTGTAAATCAGTGTCCTTATCGATTTATTCTAAGAAATGATTATGTAAATAGAAAAAAAAACTATCAACGAAATATTTCTAGAATAAATCCAGGCAAATAAACTTCAAACATAATACACTATACATTTGAAAATGCTATTTAGAATTGCTTCGTGTTATATCATAGTGGGCATACAGACAATAAAATATAAGTCATTTGTATTTTTATTTCTCTTGGATATGTCTCATTAAAAAAAATTGGTTAAAATCATCAGCAATTAATAGTGTATTTCTTAGATTTTTTTTATTTACAAGGTAAAGATGTAGAGGCCAGAGCACATCGTTTTTATTTTAATTTAAATGTCACTTAAGCACTACAGTGTTTAGTTGTCCTTTTCAACTTCACACTAAATTCCATTTTCAACTTGTTTGCTTCTTACAATTGTATAGCATTTCTAAAAGTATTGCATTACAATCCGCTGGTTTATTAATTACATGTTTTAATGTGTACTTCCTAATCGCCTGTCCAAAAATCAGAACAGGTGAAGCAGAATCTATTTTTAGAATAGCGAAGGTTAACTCATATCATGACCTAGTAAAATATGTAAACAAACCACAAGAATCGGAAGTAGAACTGATATTATAACTTCCTTACCATAAAAGACTACATGGCGTAAAGTGTCTTACATGCATTTTCAAAAATAGATATTTTATACTAGCCATTGTACTGTATCTAATATATTAATAACTGCTGAATATTCAGCTAAACCCGCGGTATGAGTCACGAAAATAGTTCTTCTTTTATTAATGCGCGAGTTATCCTAGAGTCACGAAAAACTTTTGATTTGTTAATAATAATGTTTTGTATAATGTAGAAATATTTATTTCCTACTTATAATGTCTTGGAACTCAGAGGTTACACCTTTATTGTAGTATAATTTGCTGTCCTACTTTTTCGACAGCGGTAAATCGTTTCAGCAGTAATTTGCATATTGCGCAATAATACTACGGGACTACAACGTTTTTATCAATAATATACGTTCATATTTTAACTTGGATAACTTAATTTGAAGTTGAAAAGGCTAAATATGGAAGACATTAAGATATCCAGACAAAGTATGGGAGTTTTGAAGGATCAAATTCATGTACTATTTCTTGGGCTGTTAATTGGTTTAGGACACATTGCGCGAGTGTAGCCAACGAAATCCTATGTGTAGATGACTTAGCTCTGAACGCGCCTGAGGGCGCGTCCGTCGCAAAAATTGTAAACTAGCTGGATGGCTTCCTAACATGATAGAATCAAAACTCAAAGTGGTCTTCAAACCACAAGCAATGAAGGGCAAGGATACAAAATCAATGACCTTGAACACACAGCCACAAAGGTCCAACATACATCAAATAAGTCAACAAATTAGAATATGATTATAACATACCTCAAATAATTTTACATGATAGCAGAATATATCTTTGGGTAAAAGATTTTCCAAAACATAGTTTTGTGCGTTCCTTGCAATTTCATGTACCTGAAAAAGTTAAAATTAAAACATAACAATATAGATCTCGACATTGTGGGTTCAATTCCCTGGCTGGCCAACTAAAATTACTACATGTAATCAGTTTTTCAGATGAGTCTTGAAATCAAAGTCCTGTGTACCACTGCTTAAACACTTGGCATTAGAGGACTCGGCCATATAGGCAACCAGTGGTGAGTATAAATAAACAAAGTATATAATAAACTCAAATACACACACACATTCATGTCCCTAGTGCTATGTCTAGAACCGTCATAGGTTCTGGAATTCAACATCTTTCACCTCTCCTAAATGTACTAAAATTTAAGAAATAATCTTCATCAGCATGAATTTGGAACTGTGCATGATCAGATTCAGGGATTCCAATATCAAAATATTTAAACCAAATACTAGTAGGTGACAGTATATATGGTCGACAGCAGGGTGGTGGAATAGTCACATTCTATATCAACACTGTAGCTCAAAGGATTACTCTTAAGAAAATTTCATGGTATTGAAAGGAAGGTAAACCTGTTGAAAGCATTTGTAACACATAGCATTTTTCATCCATGCAATCTGACCAGGCTCTATACTATTGGTAACTCAACTTTTGCATTTTTTTATATTGAAATCACTTCATTTTCAAATGGACTGTTTCAAATTCAAATCATTGTTAATCCATTAGAAATTCAGAAGGTAAAGAAATAATCATTTCATAAAGAATGAATCAAATTTAGAATATACCTTCTCATCATTTTCTTTTGCCCATTTTATTTTCTCGAGTAAGTCACTGAGATCTCTCTTGAATGGTATGTAGTGCACGTAAGGTTTTAGATCTTTGTAGAAATGTTCATAATAGAACGAATCTTGTTTAAGCACTACGGAATCTCCTGCCAGTAGGTACGGCAATCTGTAAGCAGCTACTGTCCCGTCTATATTAACTTGATATTTATACTGAAAATAGATCAACATTTAGGAATGTTACATGTACACTTACTACATTATTTATATCAGGAAAGTATTTAAACTTTGGATTGTTCCTTTTATATTAAAACTTGTTATTTATACTGAAAAATTAAACAACATTTAGTAATATTCCACATGTTTAAACTTGTGATTTATACAGAAAATTAAACAACACTTACAAATCATCCATTTATTTATTATATGGGAAAAAATTTAAACTTCTTTACTGAATCAATATTTAAACAGAAAATGACATAACATTAGGGAATGTTACATGTACATCAGGCCTCGACACTAACTTTTTTAGCAGGTGGTACGCCGGACCACTAGATTTGAAAGTTAGGTGGTCCTTCCAGAAGTCAGGTGGTCAGTTATCATTATTATATCTTTTTACTGCAAATGTAGAAAAAAAAAGTTTAACTTTTATGACAAAGATGTATTATTAATCTTTAAAGAAAACAGATATTTTTAGATTTATATTTTTCATCTAATCAGAAAAGGGAGAGCAAGTCAGTAGGTATTTTTATCGTAGAGTTATTTGTTTATTTGTTTTTATCTCAGTCAAAAATACACAACAGAGCTTTTATTTATGTTAACTTTTATATTAAAGTGATTTCTCTCTCAACTCAAGTTAGGGAATAGTGAAGCCATTTGTGTCTGTTATTTTCTTACTGTTATTCAAATATTCATTGCTGATACGCGGTGCGTCTTATAATCATGATAATAACATATCATCTTTTACAGATTAACATTTTTAATTGAACTAATAAATTATCTTATTTTTGTCTTTGAAAACATGGAAATATCTAAATTATTTAAATAATGACAACGTTATAATTTACTATAACTTATCTTATTTTTCTCACAGATTTTAAATACAGAATTTTACCTCCCTGTTGCTTGTTGGTTGATATTCATTTTTGACATTGGGTATTTTTAACATTTTAAAATAATTTTAACTCTAGAAGAAACATATCTCTTATCGTTAAACAGTTAAAGTAAAGATAAATAGCATAGAATTACTAGATGTATTTTTCCAGTTCCTTTCGTTTGCTGCCGTTATTCAAGTATCTGAAATTTAAGTTTATCCGATATCATATAATAATATTACCATCATCGGATACTCACGGTTGATTAACATGTAACATAACATAAATGTTAATGGTTCCGCCGTGGTTATCAGACGATGCATAATTACAAGCATCCTTTGAATGAATTTTGTACCTAAATTTATATCACAAACTCTTAACTCTTTTAACTTGCATAAACAAAATTTTAGCGACTTAAAATGAAAGTTAAATATTGATGACTTAAGAACTTCTTTAACTAATCAGAGATTAATGAACCATATACATGTACATCGGACATAGATTTTAAACAAAATTATATAACATGTTTTTGACAAAATCGCCATTCTCCCAAATGAGCCTTGCATCAACCAGAAAATTCAAGTGGTCCGACGGACCAGTGGGTTTTAAAATTAGGTGGTCCTTGCCAAAATCAAGTGGTCTCGGACCAACGGACCACCGCTAATGTCGAGGCCTGTACATTTTACTCCTTATTTATACTGGAAAGTAGGTAAACTTAGGAATGTTCCTTTTATATCAACTTGTTATTTATAATGGAAATAAAACAACATTATGGAATGCTCCATTTACATTCACTTTTTATTTATATTGCAATATACAAAACATCTGAGCTCTAGGTAGAGGTTTTTAAAATATGTTTCCATCACAAGTAAATGAAACAAAAGTGACCCAAAGGTCAGAGCAATTTTTAACCCAAGATACATGATTCAAACATTTTTTGTAGAGAGGATCACAAGGTCACTGGTGTTTCAGAATAAATGTCTAAGCCTTAAGACACTGTAGTTCCTGTGCAGGAGATTTTAAAAGATTTCATTTTTAAAGACAATTAAGGTTACGGTGACCTTCTTGTGCACCAGACTGGAACCATTTATATATAGTTTGTAGAGGGATGGCTTAGGATCATAACTGTGAAATTAGGTAAAAATTTATCATGAAGTTAAGGAGAAGATATTGTTTAAATAAATAGAGGATAAAAAGGACAGCACACAACCTATACCATGCTATCACAAAAGCTCATCTCAGCACACTTTGTGACAAGGTAAGTCAAAAAGAGGCAATTTTTTCTATAAATGAATATCTGAAAACTTAGAATCAGTAAAATTTTTAACAAACCTTAAAGAAATCAAAGAAAGGGATATTGTTCACAAGCTCGCCATATTTCTCTTCATCGTGTTTAAAAAAGAACATTCTCGTCATTTTGGCATGCAGTAAATCAGGATTTTTTCTTGACATCACCACCAGGTCTAACCGTTCCTGTCGACTGTCACGCCCACGCCAGAATCCAATTTCAGTCTTGTTCTCCCAGCGGGTTGGACTTTTACCCATTACACTGAATACATCTAAAGATTGTCTGCAAAATTACAGTCAATTCATTTTTCATAAATTGATATTTTGATACTGATTTTTAAGATATGAAAAACAAATTCTATGGAAAAGATATTTTGATACTGATATTTTGAATAGCTAGTGCTCTTCTTGTATAAATGAATCCCTCTGTTTTGGCTATATTTGATTTTTTCTCACAAAGAAACAGGTTTTTAAAAAAAAAAAATTCAACACTTGAGTGTGATGTCATCTGACAGTGAAATTACCTGGATCTTCATTGCAGTCATGCATATTAAAAAATCAAACTGTTTTATCCATTAATGCATTGCTTTCTTTGTTGTCAATATACACCTACATGTGCAGGTATTTAGAAAGAATAACAAACACATAAATTACCTTCCCAACATTTCTAGTGTTGCCTCAGTCAGATCATAAGTTGGCATGACAATATCTAGAGATTCATCAGATCCACACCATGAGAATATTGGCAGTGGGTTGTCAGTTCGCTTCCTCTTCTCAAGTGGCCAATCTCCGAGATTTACGAAAAATTCAAGATCCGGCAGTTTAACCTAGTAATATAATGAAGTTTCACAATTTGTTTGTTTGAGTAATAAGCTTATTGCAACACAATTTTGGTCATATTTGGCAGTCAGATGACCTGACCGGCTTTCCTGGTCAATTAACCAGTTATCACTATTAAAATCTGCAAGTGAACTTTAAAGAACTGTTTTCTTTTTTCTGTAAGTAACAAACAGACTATTAAAGTGATAAGTTGACTCTCAAGCTATAAAACAGAAAGAAATTATCACTGCATTATTGCAAGCAAAATCTTACACAATCTATAAACACTGCCAAAAACTGATAGACAATAGGTATTGGTTTTATAAAGACAGAAATCATACTAACCTTCTTTGTTAAAGACAACAGGATGGCATCACTAAACATCTTAAAACCAACATGTTGACCATATGTTTTACGATATATCTGGAAAAGAAAACAACCCAGAAAACATAGAGCATTAAAGGGTATCAAGATATAAATGGCCATAAAATACTTATAAAATTTCAAAAATAGGACATTTACTTTGATTCCATATACTTATGGTCATTTTTTAAGTAAGTTTTTTAACAAAAAGTATAGTATTACAGTAACTTTAGATTTAACAATGATTTCACTCATGTACCAAGAAACATGAGGAATAAAAATACACTGCAAACCTGTTAAAATGCTCAAGCCAGCATCCATGTAGTATATAAAGGCAAATATGGGCAACTAATAATGTGCAATAAGTAATTAATTTTGGACATGATTTAACAACAAATAAAATATCAATCAAACAATAGCAATTTAGAAGGGTGTATCAATTGACAATAGAAACTGGATGTTTATAATGATTGTTATTCTATAGCTTAGAATTAAATAAAAATCTACAAATTTTTTATTACCTTATTATCTATTATCTTGTAATAACAGAGACTATGTGCTGTTGATATATTAAATCGTTGTATAGTTTCAGCGGCTGTCTTCTCAAGGTCAACATCTTTAAACAGAGAAAGGTCATTCTTGATCTGTTTGTAGGACGCGGGACATTTCATATTGCTGTACCATTGCTGAATATCTGGCTGCGGACAATAACACGTCTCCGGGTATATAAATCCTGAAAATACAGAAATATACACTGATTTTAACTAATTAGTTTTGTTTATACTTTGTTTGTTTGTTTCATTATTTTATGCCTCAGTGTTCCCAACAGTATTTCAGTCATATAGGCGGGTAGTTTCCTAACCATCGTTCCTGGAGAGTAACACCAGTACAAGACTACCTTCCTCCGCGCTAAACTACCAAAGTACCAGTACAAGACTACCTTCCTCCGCCCTAATCTACCAAAGCATCTCCCGGGGATCGAACCCACGCCAGAGAGGTAACTGGATAAGAAGGCATCGACTCTAACCCCGCGACCAAATACAAATTTATTTTAGTCTGATTGTGTTGGAAGCTAGGAGTATAAACTTATTGAAACACTCTTGAATCCATTCCTGGAGCAAAGTAATGAATGTAAAGTTACTTGCTCAAGGAAATAATGACTTGCCTCTAACAGAGTTTAAACCCATGTGGTCAGCAATCCTTAGATTACTAGTCTGACGCAATAACCACTCGGCCATGCCGCCACTTTAACTACTTGTATCAGTGGTGGCATAACCCAACTGAACTAATCATGTACGCTTGTCATGCTTTGGAATTTCAAAATATATCTCAAAATATATTACACCAAATTATACCATATTAAACAGAACAAGTATAGGGTAAGGCACTGAGATGCAGCCTGATCCAGGTTTTTTCTTTCATTATTACTCTTATCATTGTTTGCTACTGAATTAAGTCAGTACTTATTTTGAAAATTACCCTAAGAATGATGAATGGTTTTGTCCAGATTGAAAGATAGATAAGTCCATTTTAGATGTTTAGCAAGATTTAGGGTTAATCAAGATAAATACAGATCTGTGCTATAAGAGTATAGTCATGCCAGCCAGAGTATTTGTGCAGACTGATTTGACGAACAACGCTATACTGTTGGCTACACAAATTAAGTATTTTGATACTAATTCTCTTGCAGTAAAAATCAGCTGCTCTATATTCACAACAAAACAGGACCATTAGATAATTTAATAATTTCAAATATAATTTGTTTTACTAATTTAAGATATATTTTGTCAACTTTACAAACTAACCTCTTTATGCAGGTTTGAAATAACAATACTATGTATTACATTACTTCAATTCAATTCAATATCAAGTTCTATTTTATAAATTGCTGCATAAATAAATTTGTACAAAATCAATTTTTTGTCTAAGATTAACTATCTTTTATATTATTTATCTAAGGATAAGAGAGGCACTTGTATGAAATAGTTTCAGATTACCTTTATTTATATTTTTTGATAAGCCAGTTATGCATAAAGTCTTTTTAACTTTCTACATGTACAGTACAGGTATTACATAGCAGGATAAAATGCAAACTGAAATGGCCATGCAGGTTCAAACTTGGAGTCAGGGGCAAGCCGTTGTTTCTTTGAGCAAGAAATTTTACACTCATTGCTAAGTATTGGTTAGTCCCAGGAATGGATTTGAGAGTGTTTCAATAAGTTAACTAAGAGTTTCCAACACAATCAAGCAAAAATAACCTTGTATAAACTAACAAAAGTGAAAATTAAAGGAGCTACACCAAGGTCCAACAGTTTGAAGACAGCTTATATAGGTCAACCGGGGCACTTATAATGGAAATTTATGAAAGAGATGATAAAGAAATAATTATATATTTGCTGAAAATTAAATGGAAAAATATTTAATATGATTCTCAGCCCATTTTGAGATAGAAGTGTTTATTAAATGCCTATGGTTTTTGTTGCACAGCAAACATAACTACTCTGGAAAAATGGAGAGAGCAGAATGATGAACACAAGTTATTGGTATATATCTACATCAATTGAATTACATATCTTTAATAAGGAAAAAAAAATCCAATTGAGTCATGTAAAAAAACAACAACAAAACTCAGTGGGGTATCTTTCAGTGCAAAATATTTAATATATCAAATATAAATCACCTTAAAGTTCTAACTTTTGTAAATAATAATTTCACATCTGACACTTTCAAAAAACAAAGGTAACGAAAAAAACATCTGCACTTTTTTGTTTTGGCCAGGATGTTACAAAGTAATAATGAAACAAAAATAATTTCTAGCTTTACAATTCACAACATAAACTTGAAATGTATAAAATATTATAGGTTACATACATTTTCAATGATTAATAAACCTACACAAAAGGAAAACAAACAATATTTAATTTAAGGCCTAGTTAAGATGCAGAGATCACATTTAAGTCCTACTGGTAGTATATTTTTTACTGAGGCCTCTTCCCAGTAGAAAATGTCTTTAAAATCATGCAGTTTTCCTTAAAAAAATCTAAACTTACACCAGCTTTTTTTTTACTTCTGAAATTAGCAATTTTAATTCTTCACAAAGTCAAGGGGCTATTACTGAGGCCTCTCTCCAATTTAGTAAGTAAAGCCCATTAACTGGGCTTTTATTTTGATACAGTGAAAGCCAAAGGTCCAAAAATTTCGGCCATTAAATAATACCTTATTACAATTCCCTTTAAGTCCTAAGCTCAAAACAAGGTCAATTATACACAAATTCAGCGATATAAAGTTTCATGTGAAATTATGTGACATTTGACTCCTTTTATATCTTACACCAAAATTTTCATATTTATGAACTTGACACTCTTTTTGATGAATAAAAAGTCAAAACCAAATAATGCTTTTCAGATTTTTTGTTAATTCTTATCAATATTGAAATTTTAAACATGCACTGATCATATAAAGTGATATAATAAAGTCATTGAAAGTTTAATTTAAGTGTTAGGCTTGTTTTCCAGTCCATATATATTGTGATGTAAGATGATACATGCTTGTAAATTTGCTAAATAAAATATGTTTAAACTAACACTCTTTGTTATATTATGAATATATCAAGATGTAAAAACTATAGACATATACTTTACCAGGTAGTTCATACGGTGATTGCGCAACATCTTTTCCATTGAAAGTGACGCTGATTTTCACGTTTTCAAGAGTGCTGAAAATACGGAATCTGACGATGTACATTCCATCTTGTTTGTCAAGTACCTGTAAATATACTCGTACTCTATTCTGACCAGCTGAACTGAGGGATACTTCAAATGGTTTCTCCCCTATGGATTCTGTTATACTGAAATATATTATATAAACATGTAGATCCTGTAACACAATCTATTTTCTATAAAGTTTTTAAGTCAAATTTTACAATAAGAAATGAATGTATATATTTTAATGATTAAATATAATTTGCACAAATATTTGCAGTACATAATTTACATATTCTTCGATATTTGAAAATTGTTTTATTTCCATAATTATGTACATATTTATAATTTCACTTAGTGTGGTTTACCACTTTGATCACAACATACAGGATCTCTATGGCAGGGAAAAAAGTATTTAAATGATGGCTTTTCCAGTTAACATAGCAATGATTTATTAACAATTCTATGGTATTATAATAATTAAAGAAAAGTATATACCAGTTTCACCTGTTAAAGGGGCCTTCAAAATATATTTATATGTATACAACAATACGTTATATGTATAAATAAAAATTAAATACGTAACTAAATAATGTATTTTGTTTTGACAGCTGAAAGATTTATATAGCAATGCAAGTGCAACAAATAAGCTGTTTTTTTTAACAACAAGGTCTATTACTATTGATACTTGAAAATAATTTAAGTATTTTCTGGCTCATTCAGAGATTTTTTACTTTTTATTTTAATTTATACCTTTAAAATTGGGAAAATTTAGAACAGTAACCAATAGAAAATATGTAGCCAATAGAAAATATGTCATATTTAACAAAACCTTTAAAAAACACACTTTTTATTTAGATAACAATAAACATTACATTCTTGTGCTTTTCATAAAAATTCATAGCTGCAAAGAATAGTTGAGCTGTTTTAGAAAAATCCTCCACAATGTTCATGAAACGAATAAAATTGGGAATTTTCAACAGTTTTGTGAATTGGGGAAGAGGCCTTTATTTGACTTTTATCATATGCAAAAAAACAATTTTATTCCAAGAATAATTTTTTGTATTTTAGTAGCTACTCATTTTCAGTGTTAATCAAAATGCTAAAAAATATCATAATTATATACATGTATATAATTATAGTCACTGTGAGAATAAAGAATGAAGCGATGCCTTTAAATTTCTGAGTTATTAACAAAATTGTTATAATAAACAATTAAGAATATTTAGATCTTTAATATGTTAACTTATATCTTGAAATGTTAGGTTGCTGAATCCCATATTAAGTTATTTCAAACATATATATACATGTACACATAGCTCAAACATAATTATAACACACAAACACACAAAAAATCAACATATACTAGCAATTTGCATTTGTGATATAAAATAATTTAAAGACAGCAGCTGTTCAATTATTGCTTATCACATGGATATTAAATATCCATGTGATAAGCAATAATTGAACAGCTGCTGTCTTTAAAGTAAAACATATTTAGTTTATATAAAAGTCTCATTAATACCTTTATTTGCTTTGATAGTAGAAATGTTTCTAAAAAGCACTATCAGACTGTTATAATTTCAGTGTTTTTAATATAGAATCAGGGCAGCCAGCCTGCATATCTCTGTACAAACTCTCACCAGATTCAATACTGTAAGTGAAACCCCTTTAACTGACAATGGAAAGTTCTAAATTCTAACAAGAGCCATGTCAACATGGCCATCCCCCGCCAAATGTGTTTGCTCATTGGAAGAATGTATATGTAGTAGAGCGGAATATTTCAATTTTAAGAGGTCTTTTGGTAATGAAAACTGATGGCTATAGTGATTACAGATTTGAAACCTATGTGAATACTGATGGCTGAAAATAACAAAGGGCAATTACTGAAAAATAATGCAGGGTAGGTTATCATTCTTGTGTGCTGCATCCCATCTCAGTAAAATCTATCCACCTATGAAGTTTCAAGTTGATACCTCAAATACTTTTTGAGAAAAAAATTGAATTGAAAAATTAAGTATGAAAAAGAACAAAGGGCAATAACACAACAATTATAAAAGATAGAGTTATCATTCTTAAGCAGTGCACACCTATTGAGTGAGATCTATGCACCTATGACGTTTCATTTTGATATCTCAAAGGCTTTTTGAGTTATGCTCTGGACAAAAATTAATTTTGAAAAATAGCAAAGGGCAATAACTCAAAAATTATGAAAGGTAGAGTTATCATTCTTAAGCACTGCACTCCTCCTCAATTAGATCCATCCACCTTTGAAGTTTCAAGTTGATACCTCAAATACTTTTTGAGATAAGCTCTTGACAAAATAGCATAAAAAAACAAAGGGCAATAACTCAAAAATTGTATAGGGAAGAGTTATCATTCTTGCGCACAACATTCCTCCTTAATAAGATCTATCCACCTATGACATTTCATGTTGATATCTCAAACACTTTTTGAGTTATGCTCCACTCAGGTGAAAAATTAGGTATGAAAAATAACAAAGGGCAATAACTCAAAAATTATGAAAGGTAGAGTTATCATTCTTGTGCACTGCACACCTCCTGAGTGAGATCTATGCACCTATGAAGTTTCATGTTAATATCTCATAGGCTTTTGGAGTTATGCTCTGGACAAAAATCAATTTTGAAAAATAACAAAGGGCAATTACTCAAAATTATGCAAGGTAGAGTTATCATTCTTGTGCACTGCACTCCTCCTCAATGAGGTCTATCCACCTATGAAGTTTCAAGTTGATAACTTAAATACTTTTAGAGATATGCTCCGAACAAAAATGTCGGACGGAAGGACGGACGGACGGAAGAAAGGTCAGACGGACGGAGACTATTTCTATATCCTCCGCCAAAAATTTTCGGAGGGGGATAAAAAGCAGGCCAAGTCAATTGTATAAATTCAACAGGGCAAAGGGTAAAATACACACAAATTTACTGATTCTTAAATATTTATGAAAGCCCAGTAAATAATGTGTTGTCACTTGGCTAAAAAGTTTTTTTGTGTGTTTTTTTTTCTTCAGTCCATTAATTACAATCAGCTTCATCAAGCTTTTAAAACAGTACATGTCCTGAAGCATTGTTTTTGTACATTAATTTTTCTGTTTTGTCCATTTACTTGACTGGTTATACACTTCCTGATTTATGTACATGTATACAACAATTTTACTGCATATATCTGTTATATAGTACATGTGATCAAACTAATGTTTTGAAATTGTTTATGTAAAGTCTGCAATACTTAATATGATGTTGATACACATAATCATGTGGACAATTTTACAAGTATGACCTGAATAAAGATAACAGTCTGATGTTTTTATCTTGATCTGATTTTAACACCAATTCTTTTCTGATTTTTCAAATATCTCTTCATTGTACTTCAAATAATATTAATACAAGATTCAAGCATTTTTTCCCAAAAAATCACTCTGGGTGGGAAACTGCAATATATTAATTATCTGACTTAACAGTTCAAAATAATATCTGAGGGGTAAACTAAATTCTTCTTTTATAGTAGGACCTAACTGCTACCTTTTACAAATCAATTAAGCTTGTTATAAGTAAAAGGTAAGACAAGAATACAGGGTACTGTACACTGGCTCATATATTTGCACAGTCAATTACATAAATTTTATGTTAAGCCCACCCACCCATCCCCCACCCAATAAAAAATATTCTTTAACTTAGTTTTTCCTTACAATTCAATTTACATTTAAAATTTTCTTCACCTTGTGCAAAAAAACATAGTTACATTTTTTGGGTCAATCCCCTATTTGAGAAAAAAAAATTTATTTGAGTTCTCAAAATGTTAAGCCCAGGAAACTAAGAGAAAGTGAATGACTATAGGTATATTTTATCTTTATTGTCCTTCTTTATTGCATGCTTTATCCCTGTTACTAGGTTGTACTTGAGTGAAAATTTTTATGTACTATCTATTTAGGGGTCACACAAGAATTGCCTATGGATCAATATTATTGGCTTGGTTAAATCATTTTTTTAAGTCTAAATTTATTCTGCCCTCCAACTCTTTTAATCACTGTAGTGAACATTTAATCAAAGTTAAACTTAAAAATATTCAAGGTCTTTTCAGCAATTCTGCTTATATTGGGAGAAATTATACAACATTTTGTGATATACAAGCAATTTTAAATAATTAAAAACCTATCTTTAATAGATTGACTTTTTAAGGGTCTCCTGCATTCAGCAGATATTGGCAAGTGAAGAGAAAAATGCACATTTCTTTTTTTTTTTTGGGAGGGGGTTGGAGGCAGGGGTTAAAAATAGGAGAAAAATATTAAACATGTACATTTTGGGAGGAAAATAGCATATTTTGTGCCCATATGCTTTATTTTTAATCGAAAAATCTATTTACCTACAAAAAAATACCTGTTCAACAGAGTAACACTGACAAATTCAAATTTTGACAAGTTGACATGAAATCATTGAAATGGAGCTTTTTTTGTTATAGTACAAAGGAGTACTGTTGACATGAAAATATTTTAAGTAAATTTTGCTTGTTTCAATAAATTATACAAAAAATTGTCAGATGGCCTTAATTAACTTTCTTTTTATGCAATGAACTATGATATTTTCAATACATAGAATTATTTGTTAAGCTAAACCTTTTTGAGAATTTACAAAACAAAGAAAGAATTGTGCCTTAATAAAAACAAACAGAAACATGTACTGTACCTTACATAAATAGAAACAACAGATCTATGAATACATTTTTTTTCCATTTATTAACTTAAACCAGATGTTTGATAAATTCATGAGAACTAGATTTGTAAGCAAAGTATTTCATAAAAGAGAGGGCAAAGATGGCTCTGCATAATGCTTACCAGTACCAGAATGTATGATGGAAAAATAATGCCGGCTAGTTTTTACAAAGAAGTGCAATCAATCTATGATTAATCTAGAAGAAGTTGTTGAATGTTTCAGAACAAGCTTCATGATTATTATTAATATTTTATTTTGGAGTTTTACGACACATCGACACAGTATAGGTCATATCGCGACGTTCCAGCTTTACTGGTGGAGGAGGCCTCACTGGTGCCCTCCGTGCATTATTTCAGGCAGGAACGGGCACCTGAGTAGAACCACCGACGTTCTGTAAGCTAGCTGGATAGATTCCTCACATGAAAGAACTTAAAGTCCCTGTAGGGATTCGAACCCACAGCAGTGAGGGGCAAGTGGTTTGAAGTCAACGACCTTAACCACTCGGCCACGGACGCCCCACAAGCTTCATGAGAACAAGTGCATTCAAACAAGGCTTTAGACCAAGTTTGATTATCATCCTATCTATTGGCTCATGCAAAAAAATGTTTAAAATTGCTCCTGTTTTTTTAGCTAATGTTGCCCTTTAAAGGAAAATTACAGGATGTCAGGTCAACATATTCTGCAGTCAACAAATTACAATTGTCACTTTTTTGGTCAACTTGTCACTACTTAATGTATATATATATCAGGCAGATTAGAATGGTTTTCTATGTCAGCAACTGATTTATATTCAAATTGAACTGAAATAGATTACATCTATCTTCAGGACTTTTTTCACAGGTAGGGAAAGGGGCCATTCTCTTTCCCTTTAATTTGGGGGAAAATAATACAGAAAAAAAAGGGATGAAAAAAACTTTGTTTATTTCATAAATTATATGGGAAAACTGCTTGATTTTAAAGAATTTAATCTGGGGAAGCAACCCTTAAACTGTCACTGTTTTAGAAGTATTATTTAATTGAAATTGACTAAATAGAATAATTCATAAATAAAAGTGTGTAAATTGATTTGACCTTCTAAGTTTTACAAATTTTCAATGTCATGATAACTTGGGAGACTTCAAGCATGCAATCAAGTGCAAATGGGCCTCTTTTTTTATATAAATAAAAAAATAACAACAATAGAATGACACAAGATTGTGTTACTATAGACATTATAAAATACAGAGAAGATTTCTAACAAATTCTAAAAAATATTTCTGAGTACTGTATCCTTTTTTTTTAATTTGAAAAAAAAAGTACAGTAAAATCATCAATCATGTACATCAGTATTGTACACTGTATTTAATGGTTAAAATGAGTGATAACTCCATCAGAAACAATGTTGTACCACTTAGTGGATAAACATAAAGAGGTATGATAACGTAATTATATGATTAATCAAGAGACGTGTGTTTCTTTTATTAAAAAGCAGGCAAAACAAAAGAAAAGAAATAGGTAAATCACTTTCAAAAATACCTTTATAGTAAGTACAAGTATAGCAGCAAATTACCATGCAATAATTATAGGTCAAAATTATGAAACTTTTCTGATAATGTATCAATTAATGAATTATTTGAAACAAGCAAAATTTTTTATCATAGTATTGCAAGCAATCCATAAGTCCCCTACCAGTTAGAACCCCATCAACATTCTGAAGGGCCATTGGCCTTTCACTTATGTTTCAATTTTTCTCTATTTTAAGTAAACTTGTTGGAAAAGTTCTTTAAAAGTGATCACAGGAAACAATTTTTATGAACAGACAGACAGACGGACTGGAGGACACTCTAAAGTTAATATTTGAAACATCCCTGTTACCAAAATATAACATTTTAAAAGCAAAATTCTTAAAGAGGAGATACTCTTGAATTAAAGATGCAATTTCATAAAAAATTTCAGCTCTTTTTGACTAATCACAAATATTGTTATATTTGCCATGTTTTAAGCCTATTTGTTGCCAAGGCTACTGATATTTTTTCAAAATAGGAAGAACAGATAAGACATGCATAATCTCAAGACTGCTATATGACCCATATGTCAAGTTTCATAAAAATATTTCCAGTAATTTTTGAGTTATCACTGGATTCAGTTTATGTGTAAAATTTGCCATATTTTCAGTCTATGTGTTGCCATAGCAACCAATGTGTTGCCATAGCAACCAGAATTCTCAACATAGGAAGAAAAGAAAAAACGAACATAATCTCAAGACTGCCATCTACCCATATGTCAAGTTTCATCAAAATATTTCCAGTACTTTTTGCTTTATCACTGGATCCAATTTATGTGTAAAATTTGCCATATTTTCAGCCTATTTGTTGCCATAGCAACCAGAATTTTCAACAGAGGAAGAAAAGAAAAAACGAACATAATCCCAAGACTGCCATCTACCCATATGTCAAGTTTCATGAAAATATTTCCAGTACTTTTTGCGTTATCACTGGATCCAGTTTATGTGTAAAATTTGCCATATTTTCAGCCTATTTGTTGCCATAGCAACCAGAATTTTCAACATAGGAAGAAAAGAAAAAGACGTGCATAATCTCCATAGTGCCATCTATCCATATACCAAGTTTCATAAAAATATTTTCAGTACTTTTCAAGTTATCGTGGGATCCAGTTTTGTGGACTGACGGACTGACAGACAGACAGACGGACAGAGGGTAAACCTAAAGTCCCCTCCGGTAAACCGGTAGGGGACTAATAAAAAAAAATGGAGGTGGGGGTCCAGTTGACCATGGCACAGATATGCATACTATTCAACTCCGTGACCATGGGCAAGTTTGCCAAGGGACAAGTTTACCTATTGACTCAACACATTTACAGTAGGAGGGTCAAATATATGCCACAGCAACATTGAAGTTATTAAAGTCAAAATATTTTGACTCAGATAATTTACCTAAGCGCAAAATAACATAACATTAACAATGTGACCATTCTTCTGCTAAGAAATGATACATGGTTTAAAAGTAAATAACAACGTAATAAAACAATAAGACTTACTTATCTCCATTTTCAGAAACTGCCTGAATAAAAAAGTAACGGACTGGTAGGAAAAAATCCGATTCTAGTCCTGGACCCCATACACGGGTTTTCTGCAAATCAAGAACATGTTCGGTCCTCAGTGCAGACGATGTTTCTATACTTGTGAGGAATATAAGCAAGCACGCAAACATGTAAGAGTACATATTATTTCACGCTATTTTACTAAGTTTTCATAAATAGTTATGTCACACATACACTATTACATACACGCCTAGTACACCTCACACGTAATGAAAGTTGAAACTACTGCAACTATCAGTATGTTTACATGGCGCGATCTGATTATAATTATTTCAACATACGAGAATAATGTTCTACTTCCTGGTTAAATTTCGTTGGTATTTATTTTCATATTCTATATCACGCTGTTTAATTGTCTATGAACTGAGGACACGTACACCACAAGGGAAATATAAATTTTTTAACATCTTTAAAAATGAAATACAAAAAATATTCATTATTGAACTGAAATCGTCGTAATAACAGCTTTATTTCCTCAAAGAGTAAACATCTTCCGAACATTTGGTACCAAGATTTTTATATTTGGTGAAAATAATGTTAGAGATATGGAGTGCACATTTGGATGAGTGGTGAAATTGAGCGGCTTGTTGCATAGCTATACTAATTTCTGATATCTTGTACCATAATCATATACGAGGGTTGTCCAAAAAGCTAGTGCACTACAGTTATTGTTGTGAGAGTTATTGATAACAAACATGAATTACATATCACTTCAAGCAGGTACGTACGTATATTAACATACGTACCTGCTTGAAGGGGAAATATGTCACAAAAAAAGAAAACAAAAGAAAAAGCCATGTACATTTGATATTTAAAGGCATGCTACATGAAAAAGCACCGTAGTTTAGATTGTTCCAAAGGGAAAGTTTAGGTGCAGAGACTTTATTACAGTTCTATGGTTGAGTGTTATAGAGAGGCTGGGTGACTATTCAACGCGTCAAACACCTGTGCTTTTTCGAAAGTGGAGCGAGAAATCAGTTCTAGGCAGTTTTGGTCGATTTGTCTAGCATATTGATGCCTAATATATACTGATCAATATTGTTCCAAACTGGCGTAAGCACGGACATTAATCTGCATGGTGGGCAACAAATATTTAAGCATTTATTTATTGCTAAATGGGAGTTTCCGATCCTTTTCAATTAAGTTCTGTGGTGTTAGATTTAAAAAGTACGCATATGGCAAGTTTACTACTCATTATTATATATATTATTTTTATTATTATTTACTCGGTTCCTATGATATCAAGAGTTCTATGATATCAATTCTATGATATCAAGGTATTTAAATTTTCTGTGACTGATAGTAAAAGCAACACATGATGATGCTAATATTTGTAAAGCTTCCACACTTGATTCATTTTCATCTGCCAATATGTTTAATTTGGTGAATAGTGAATATATGTGTGGCAATAAAACTATTTTATAAAACCTTCATATTTGACTACCATTTTCCTTGATGTTTTTACACAGTCAATTAAGATATGTTATAAACACATATACTGACATATAGTCTGTTCAGATAGTTTTAATTTTATAGCAAGTTAAGTGTTGTAAGTTTTTCTCAACTTAACTTAAAAGTTTTGACCCATCTATCCTATCATACTTGCTTTTTTGGAGATTACCTTGATACCGTAGTAACCTCCTCTGAAATTACCCAAAATGGCAGACATTGAAAATATTCTAAAAAATGTCATTTTTATTGGTTCTTTTGAAATATTTTTTTGACAAACAGTTCAGAAAAAGGTTCAGTTATAAGATGGAAGAAAAATCTCATTAATTAATGATATTTTTATTTAAATATTTTCTGATAAACGTTAAGTACCGTGATATCATAGAACCCCGGGCTATGTCAAGTTGTCTCTGAAACGCTGAAAAAATTATAATTAGTATCACGGATTTTAATTGACACGGATTTATATGTAATATAAATCCGTGTTAGTATATAAGATCAATCGGGACACCTCGGCGATTTTTTATCCGGAATTTGAAACTATAATTCCAAACCTGGCCTAGTTCTGTATAAAAGTTGAAAGTTGAATGAAAAGGCCGAGAAGATGTAATTGATCTCTGATCCCATAAAATTGTTTGTATTTAGTAGTGTTTAACCCTATATTAACACTTAAGAATTAAAATGTTTTTATTTAAAGTATTAATCAAACACATCTAGAACAGCGTACGTTTAATTTTACGATTATGTTTAAAAGATATAAATATATATCTGAAAATATGTAATATTATACAACTTTAGAAGAAAAATATACGTAAATTTCGAAAATTATAGGCAATAAATAAGCAGAGTTGTTTTTCAAATAGGGATTTCCCAAAATGTTTGATTACACGTGCCAATTTCCAAAAGAAGAGCCGCATGCGCGTTTCAGTCTTTCTCGTAGGTTATCGTTTCCGACGCCATTATCGTTCTCCGAGACGAAAACGGGATTTCGCAAAATAATTCAACATCAGCAGCGGTAAACATAAACAAATAATTTTAATGAGTCATTTGGCTTTCCAAGGGAATGTCAGTTACCACAAAAGAATTGTTTCGTTCATTTTACCCATACTTATTATGGTTTTTACCCCAACTACTAAAATCTATTGATTTTTGAGGAAGAAAATGTAACTCAAACATGCTGATGAGGCGATATGCGCTTCTATTGAGTGGAAGTCTGACCATAATTTGACGGATCGATCGCCTATTTGACGGGGCAGTTACCTTGAAAAAAAAAACTACAACTTTTTGGATATATTCAGATATAGATTTTGTGTCATTCATAATAATTGTTCAACTTAAATTATCACTGATGATCTGCACATTTTGTTAACAGGTTAATAGAATAACATTTTGTTAATAGAATCTAATGTTATAGGACTAATTATTTAATTAAAACACATGTTTTAAAGATATGCATTATACAGGCTGGTGAAATTGCCAGAACAGGCTTAAAATGAAAAATGTAATTTCTCAAAAACAGTCAAAGATATTGCTTTTAAACTTGTGATATATCTTAGGCATTATATTAAGATAGACTTAAACAAACGTTACATTTTTTATTATGAGTAATACGGATTTCACATCACTTTTTTTCATTTTTATATGGTCCAATTTTTTTAAGTCCATAAACACATCTTTTGCATTTGCCTTTTTCCTCAAATCTGGATTATTTTGCATCCTGGGTATTAGTCCAACTAATTGTACTGCGCGACGAGATATTGTGCTATTTTCGTGTCTGGGCAATATCTCGCCTCTACACGAAAATCTCTAAAGCGAGATTCTGCCCCAGAACGAAAATATCTCAGAATCAAGCTTTGGTACGTCAATATATTTTGACTACCTGGGTATCTCTTCTAATGCGCCAGCACCTTAGATTTCTGTATTGTATTCTGTATTTTTAATTGCATAACAATTGTTGACCACACTCACCCACAGGGGTTACATGTTTTTGCTAAAAAAATTTTACACAGATTAGAACTGCCATAATTTATATGATGGCGCATTCAAATGAATATATCTGATCATATAAAACTCGAAATTCAATTGGAATTCATTTTAAAAAGTCATGTTCTTGGACTTTGAAAATTTTAGCTACTTAAAATTCAACAAAGGCAAAATATTCTTGTGTAATAACTAAAATTCATTTAATTTTAGTTCTTATACATCACAAATTAGGTAGGAAATAATGTGCTTTAAGAATGTAAAAATAACTTTGATACTTTCCAAGAAATGTGCAATTTTCATTTTAAGCCCGATCTGGCAATTTCACCAGCCTGTTATAATGGTTTTATTTACAAAACTATCCATTGTGGCTCATTTACTTTTCCTGTTATGCTTGCAGAAATTTTTTAATGCTGCAATATTTCAAAGAAAATATATCATAATTTTTATTGAGCCTGCTTGCAGTGAGCTGGATAGTTGCCACTTTTGGCATATAGTTTGGCGTATGTGTGTCTTTGCGTGCGCCTATTGCATCCATCCTGATATGTCTGGTCACTCATGGAAGAATTACAATATAATTTGGTACAAATGTTCACCATAATGGGGTGGTACATGTGTCGCATAACTTCCACATGCATGGAGGGATTTTAATATAATTGAGACGGATTTTCTCCAAAGCGAGGTGGAGTGTAATGCGAAAAAATTCAGGTGTCTGTGGTAAAGGTCAAGGTCACCTTTAAGGTCAAAGGTCAAATGAAAATAAAACATTTATTTAGAAGTATAGTATACATGGATGCATTATAATATAACTTAGCTTAAATATTCTCCATGTTAAGTTGAGATGTCTTGAGCAAAATGAAGGTCAAGGTCACAAGAGGTCTAAGGTCAAATAGAAATATTAATTTATTTATTGGCGCTCTTGCTTATTCCTAATGGATTTCAAAATAATTTTGGTACAGATGTTAGCCTTGATGGGATGGTGTGTAGCACAAAAACCCAGGTCTGCCACTCAAATGTCAAGGTCACATATCTGGGTAAGCGCAAAACCCGTGTCCAGAGTTTAACTTCCAAATTCATGGCAGGATTTAATATAACTTGGGACAAATATTGTCCAAAGTGAGGCGGAGTGTCGTGTGAAAAATTCGGGTGTTAGTGGTCAAGGTCACACTGAAGTATTGAAGGTCAATAAACGAAATAAAACATTCATTTGCGTGAACTTCTATATATATAGATGGATATTAATATGACTTAATACAAATATTCTCTATGTAATGTTGAGTTATCTCGTCCAAAATGAAGGTCACAGTCACAAGAGGTCAAATAGTAAGGCCCCTTCACAATTTAGAAATGATTTTTTTTCACAAAGTGGCAGAAAAAATCGCAATTTCAAAAGAAATTTCACAAAAAATAGGGACTTTGTCTTTGATATACATTGTTTACCTTCCGGTAAAACTTATTCTAGTCAATTGCAATAACACAGAAATAGTTTAACCTTTTCCCTTATATAAGAGTGTTTCAACGGTTTTTTGACCCCCCCCCCTTTTTGAGGCCTCAATCAGTGAAAAAATGCTCTATTTAGGCCCCAAACACTGTTTTTTGTGTGAGAAATGTTATTAAAAAAAAGTGACCACTTTTTTCGACGCTGTCCCCCAACCAAATGTTAGTCAGGGGGTTGCCAGAAGGGGGATGTGCTAGGCTTAAAGGGGCCTCAGGTCAATCTTAGGGTAACTAGTAACCGACACTGAAAAGCCTTTTACTCTATCTCGATTCATTGAGAAGTTTCAGCACTTTGAAATCAGTTTTGATGGAAAAAAAACTTTTTATAATAATGATGTTTGGCAATTTTGAGACGTCCCCCCCCCGTTGCCATGGTAACAGGAAATTTACGATTGAGCATTCTGTTACAGAGGCTATGGTCTAGTCAATATTTGTGCCAAGTTTCATCAGTATTGAAGCATTTTTCATAGTTGCATAGCAGTTTGAACTTGTTACAGGAGGCTTATCAATGAAATCGGCCATTTTTCGCAATATGCTCATGGGGTAAAAGGTTAAATCAAATTAAATGTTTTTTGCGCATGTTAACCGGGTTAATCTACTGACTTGAAGCAGATTTTACACAGGTCAGAAAATATTATCAACCGTTTCAAAATGTCACGAAATGCCAAGTAATATGTCATTTTTTTCCCCACAATTTTGTGACATATCACGCTTTTGTTTCACAAAATGAACAGGCCCGGCCCCTTTCACAATTTTGACAAAAAATGCCCTGCAAACTCACTTGCGCTGAGCTTGACAAAGTTTTCAAAATGGCTGTTCAGTGTTTGTGTGTGCTTGTGTGCATTCAAACTTGTCCATGCCATAAATTCTTTGTGCATTGAGGAATTTTCAAATAACTTGAATCAAGTTTTTTAGGCACAAATGCTCATCATGAAACTTTGTGTCATTCATATGAACCAGGTCACCGGATCAGAGGTCAAGGTCACCTAAGATGATGCAATGTTAAGATTTTGCCTTGGGTATATATAGGATCTGTTGCATACATCTCAACTATGTATACATCTTCTTCCTTGATCTGAAGCTTATAGATTCAGGTTTGAATTAAGATGAGCATGCTACACATTCTGCCCCTGGGCATGTCTTGTTACTAAAAAGAAAAGTACAAGAGCAACATTGGAAAAATAAGTATGAAATAAGCAATTAAAAAAAAAATCCTGAAACGTGGTGTAGCGAAAACCATTACTGTTGATACAATGTTACCTTGCAGTTATACAGATATAATATCATCACCTGCCCAGTGTACATGTGTCGGATGGTATCTCTTTTTTATTTGTTTAAAGGTTCAAGCAATCAAGGATGGCATCTGATACAGTGATGGCTAACAGTACCCCACAACTGGTACAAATTGCTGTATCGGGTCTCATGGACACTCATCCCGTGGATCATCTAGATTCTTCCTCTGATCATGATGGTTTGGAAATAGTCAAATACTTGTTGTTGTAATTTAAAATAAAGATTAATTTAGATCATCATATACATCTTGTCTTTAGCCAAGCTTAAGCCTTTCATAAAATCTTTTTTTAAGTAATTACACGAATAATTATAGTCTTACTTGTAATAATCATTTTCGGAAGAATTATTAAAAAAATATCATATGCAAGGTCTATGAATTGGTTCAAAAATAGCTTTGTGGTATATTCCAGATACCTGTGATGAGCCAGCTTTGAAACACCGCCGTGTAGATGTAGATTTTGATGTGAATTCTGGTACTTCTGTTAAGGTGAATTTTAAACACATTCTGTGTCTGATTCATATAAAAATATTTCAGTGTAATAATATGCTGTTTTTTCATTATCATTTGTACTAAACTCACTTTCAAGTCAGAACCAGAATTAACCATTTTCATAATTATGAGGAGATAGGTGTCTGCCTGCCAGCTATGGGTTTGAACAACCCATGTTTCCTCCTATTGCATCAGAATATTTACAGGTTAGTTTCTAGAAGTGAACTTGACAGTGATTCAAATAACCAGATTATCTGCAAGCTTTCTTTTCCCAAACAAGTTGAAATACATTATGATGTGTTTTAAATACTCTTCTAGTGTTGTTTATTTATTGGTGATTATGTCATTAATCACCACACTTACATTTTCTCCAGCAAATTTTGTTCAATATCAACAAAGCTATCTGTTTGAGACTGGACTGTATTGAGAACTATTTGTCATCACTAAACACTCGGACCAGAGAAATAGAAGATAAAGTGGACCAACTTATGTCTATGTCAAAACAAAACAACAATGGTCAACAACAATCAGGTGCAATTAAAAAGGGGTATGTGAATAATATTTTAAATTGTCTTGTTCATGCTTATTAGTTTATCTTTAATACTTAGAAGTTTGAAGCAAAAAAAGCAGTGTTTCAAAAAATTTCTGAAATATGCTAAAGGGAGGCAACCTTTGAATTCCGGAGGAATGTCAACTTGTGTTGACCTGAATGCAGTAAAAAAATGACCAAGAGAGTCAGTATTTCGCTGTAGCCTTATCAGACTGTTTATGAGTATACCATTCAAATCACTTTATGTTATTAACTCAATTTATTTAATAGTGAGAGCTACATTGTATCTGGTTAACCTTGGTTTTGGCGTCAACAGTTTGTGAAATATTTGTTAATTTTATTAATTGGTTCAGTAATGTTTATTTTTCTTCAGGGCAATAGTTGTAGGACTACCACAGCACAATGGAAAAGCTAGTGGTGATGGGACTGGTATGCTTGTATTTATCATTATATGTAAAAAAATTACATATGAAACACTTGACTTGATAATTACCTGGAATCTTACATTCTGATTGGCTTAAGATGCAAAACAGGTTTTAAGCATATGCTTGGTCTATACATGAAGACATCCTTATGGCTGATATTATATACATATTTTTATGCTCCCCCGAAAAATTTCAGGGGAGCATATAGTCGGTGCCTTGTCCGTCTGTCCGCACTACCGAATAAGGCCATCTAACTGTAAACAGACCAAAAGAGAACAATAGAGTTCATTCCGTAACAATAGAGTAAGGGGCCATTGAAAATAACAAAAGAAATGGCCCCATATTCCATTTCGGCCGGATGTCCCTTCGTCCCTCCGTCTGTCTATTTCTTGTCCGGCGCATAATTTGAAAACCCTTGGAGATAATTTGTTTAAACTATATACAGTGGTAGAGGGCATTGAGGGGGAGTGCAGTGTCAAAGAACCATAACTCTCTTTTCCCGGTTTTTGAATTATCTCCCCTTATAGAAAAATCTTGTCCGGGGCATAATTCAGATATCAACATGAAACTTTGTAGGTGAATAGAACTCAATGGGTAGATGTGCAGTGCATAAGAACAATAACCCGTTTTGTCCTAATTTTGGAGTTATTGCCCTTTGTTGATTTTTTAACACTGAACTTTGTCAGGAACATAACTCTAAAATTATAAGAGATATCAAGATGAAACATTGTAGGTAGATAGATCTCATTGAGTAGAAGTGCAGTGCAAAAAAAAACATAACTCTGTTAAGCCTCATTTTTGAATTATCTCCCCTTTTAGAAAAATCTTGTACTGGACATAGCTGTAAAACTATAAGAGATATTAACATGAAACTTTGCAGGTAGATGTATCTCAATGGATAGATGTGCAGTGCACAAGAATCATAACTCTGCCTTGCCTTATTCTGGAGTAATTGCCATTTGTTTATTTTTACTTTTTGAAGTTGTCAGGAACATAACTCGGAAACCATAAGAGATATCAACAAGAAACTTTGTAAGTTGATAGATAACAGTGATTAGAAGTGCAGTGCAAAGAACAGTAACTGTGCCTTTCCTAATTTTGGAATTATTGCACTTTGAACTTTTTCCAGGGACATAACTCTAAAACTACAAGAGTTGTACTTTCCTGTGTCCAAAACCTATTCGGGGAGCATCACACGGCTCAAACCGGGCTTTTGTTTATAATTATGTATCTGTTGTTTGGCATATACTTAAAAATATTGTTATAATTTTAATAAGACTGTTATTTCATCATTTAGGAATGATTTCTCCCACTGATGGTTTCTGCTTTACTTTGTGTTTGCAGATGGAATGGAGTCCAATGCCTCACTGAACTCTGTAGACAGTATAGCAAGTCTAGGACCAAATGTTACATTGATAACACTAAACAGTGAAGGTATGTTTTCATAGAATTATTATTATCCCAAGTTTAAAATTATATCCAAAGTTTTAGGTGCACGATCTTTGGCTGTGTAGTTTAGGTCATACATTTCAAACCACTTACCTCACACAGTTGTGGGTTCTAATGACTTTAGCCTTATTCATGTGAGGAGCTATCCAGCTAGTTTACTGCATGTCGATGGTTCTAATTAAGTGCCCTCTTGAAAAAATGAATGTCAGGGCACCTGAGGTCTTCCTCCACCAGTAAAGCTGGAAAGTGGCCTTATGACCTGAAAGTGTGACTTAAAACCCAAATGAAATTCTCTGTTTTTCAAGGGTTTAGTTTTATTTACAATGAACAAAACAAACATTTATAAATATCATTATTTGAAGATTTTTATATTTTTATTTCATGCCTTCCAGTGTTTTATTGTAATTTATCAGATGATTATATTCCGATAAACCACTAGTGAAAGTTATAAAATATAATTTTCACTGTAGCCGGACTATATCTGAATGCGGATGAAAAGACAATCATAACTAAATGGAAAAACATGCAAAATAAATTCAGTCATACCTAAATTTTGTTTCTTTAGGAAAAGGAAGTTGATGTCATCATACATCATGTTAAAAAAATTATCAAAATTAAAGAAATTTAACAGAACTATATTTCAAAATTGATGACGTGACGTCATGATATGATGACGTCACAAAGGAGAAGGCGCGATGTTACGCGGAAAAAATCAGTAATAAAATACCTAAAATCACTTAAAAAGCATGAAATAAAAAGAAAATTTATTTGTTTTACATATAAGATTGAAATATATTTCATTTGTGAACACCAGCTATTATATTTACACTCGTGAAAATATTGCATCTGGTGTTCACTCAGTGAAATTATATTTTAATCTTACATGCAAAACAAATAAATATCCTCTATGTAAAAGACATCAGGTAAGTGATGAGTTTTCCCATAGTGTTATATTTCAGTATGATTTCTATTTTGTTTTAGAAAGTAGGGATATTTAAGTTACAAACCTATGCAAGTCATACCAGGGTGTCCGTTTGACCCTTGAAATGACACTTTGACCCTTCAAATTTCAAAAAGACCTGATTTGACCCACAGGATTTTAACTGGAGGGTCAAATTTTGTTAAAATCATGGGGATTTGCTTTGTATCTGGTCAAAATGACCCTCAGGATTACATGGCTAGTGAACACCCTGACATACTTTACTTTTGTGCATACAAATCCTGTGCAAGATATAAGATTTCTTCATATGAGAAAGTTGTAAGTCAATTTTACAGAACAGAATCACTCTGTGCATGAAATTATGAACAAAACAAATTCTTTGTTATCTTTGACCATAAAAAGTGGAAAATTGACATAAGACTATATTGCATGCATGTTTGAAGATTGGACAAAACTTGATTGTAAATAGCAGATTCAAACAGTTTTTTTTTTTACAAACTGTCGAAGCCTTTCATTTGAGCACCCATTAAACTATATGTTTATTAACTTAATAAATGAACAAATTCAAACAAGTTCTTGGCTCTGAAATCTGATTTAAACTTAAAATACAGCATTTATGTATGTTTCTTGGAAACTGAGATTGTTTTGTAGTTTGATACTTGTATATTTATTTTTACAATCATTATAGAGGATTATCCGAATGGTACATGGCTGGGTGATGATAGTAACGTTGAAATGAGAGTAAGATGTGCTGTCACACCAAGGTACTTTATGTCTGAATTAAATATATATCACTTGAATTTTGATTAAGTTGTCATAATTTTGTTATTAATGTACAGACTTAATTTCATAGGTGGAGACACTTTTGAATAATATTGAATAAATTAGATATGACCTTTGAATGACCTTGACCATCAAGGTCAGATGCTTGAATATTGCTTAAATTTTGTTGTCTTTGTTACCTTTGTCATTTAAGTATGGAAATTAGTTATACTTGGATGAAACAACAAATGTGACTAGACAGACCTATTAAAATAAAAAAAGGGAAAATATACGATTTCTTTTCTTTGATTTTCTGTTTTAAGATTTGTTTGCCTTTAGAAAAAAAATCGAGCGTTGCCCCACGATCGGCAGTGGCTCTTGTGAATCTTGGGTCAAATTATCAAGTAAGTTTATGTGCTCATTTGACATTGACTTTAATATTTCAAATTTTTATAAGCAAAAGGATTTTACATGTACATTGTTTTTAATTATCTTGCATTACTTGGATTTCTGGTGTCAACAGATTTTGACATTTATATTTTCAGTGATTTACTTCATATACACTCCAACTGCCGGACACCAGAGAAGATGGCACTAACACTTCTAGATTACCTGTTTGACAGGGAAACTCAGGCCATATCTAATTTATCTGGACTTGGTAAACATGGCAAAAAACAGCTTGATCCTTTAATGATTTATGGAATTAGATGTAAGTTTAAACACTCTGACTTGTAGAAGATGATGATTTATAAATGACTGAAAATACTCAGATACTTTGTAGAAAATTACTAAAGCAAGTTTTAAAGCCGGTTTGATTATGTTGTGCATTTTTAAAAAAAAAGTTGCCCCTGTATCTTGATAAAGTTACTGGACCCATGGTTTATAAAGAAATTTTCTAAGCTCAAACTTAGGTATAAGATTGATCAAAATCCTGCACAGAATGTACACTGATCAATGAAAAATATTCTGAGATTCAAAGCAGAGCTGAGATGAAAGTTTTATAACTCAAATTCTATTAAAGCCAGTTTGAGGTAGAAAGATGTCGTAATTTTCATTTGGCTTTAAAAAAGGCAATTTTCTGATGACAAAATATTCAAAAAGTATTATTATTTTCAGGTCACCTTATTCACAGATTTCAAATCACAGAAAATGACTGGCACAGAATAAAACAGAATATAGACTCAAAATGTCGGACAGCATTCCGACGTCGACAACGAGGCATGCCACTGACGGTGAAAGCGTTCCGCGGGAAAGCGTTATCTGGTTATAATTCATTAATGCCAGGAGAAATGATGAGTGACGATGATTCTATCGGTCAAGATGATACGCTTCATATACATCAAGGCAATGTAAGTTTTGCTCCATTCCTTTTAAGGATTCTTCCATTTTGAACAAGTTTTCATCAAGTATTATCAACTCTTCTGTTAAATTTGTACAAATGTTATATGCATCAGTGCAAGCAAACTGTTGTTTTTACTGTTGGCAAAATATCTTAAAATTTTCATCTTTGGCTGAGTGATAAAAGTGGCACACTTCACACCACATGCCTCACACCTCTATGGGTTTGATTCTTGCCTATGACTTTGGATCCTTCTATGGGAGGAAGCTTTCCAACTAGCTATAGAAAAGTCAGTGGTTTTATTTTTGTGCTAGAGATAGTGTAGAAAGAAGCACAAGGTTTTCTCCTCCTAGTTTAACCGAAAAGCTGCCATATGACCATATTGTCTGTGTGACTGATATTAAAAAAAATGATATCCCAAAACTCTTCATTAAAAGCTCAAAGAAAATGAGCACAAGTCTTTTTCAGAAATTCAGCAGCTGTTTTATGTTTATTCTCTTTTCAGAGTCATGATGTGTATTTACAAGGTGATTTAGACAGTCAGCACGGTGTGCCTATGCAAGGTGATGGTTTACAAGGTGAGGTACAGATTCTTCACGCCACACCAGAACAGATCTCACAATTACAACATGCTCAACATATACAAATCCTGCAAGGAGACCAAGTAATACAAGTTCCAGTGCCAGTAAGTAGGAATATCTTAAAGGGTCATAAAAAACCACATGATTGTGGTTTAGTTGTCAGACTTTCAATCTGATTAAAGTGGGTAAGAGCCTTATTTGTTCTCAACCATGTTTTCTCAGACTGGTTTAATCTTTAGAAAGAAGAACTGTCATATTGTCACTTAAGTGCAGTAACAGGTAAAGTCCTTCTAATTATAATAGGTGTTAACCAGTTATTGCAATAAGGTTACCATATAAACTCCAAACTTTTTTTTCACAATCATGCATAAATAAAAACTGTTTGAGACTCAAAAATTGATAACTAAAACTAGAAAATCAAAGTTTAAATGGAGGTATAATATCACTATATACATATAACAGTATTTAAGTTGTCCCACAAAGCTTTTTGTTTAGAATTAAATTTATTTTTCATTTTACAGCACAATATTCAACAGTTAAATGCCTCTGATCTTCCGGAAGGTTTACAGGTAGCTGTGTCAGCAGTCTCGCTACCCCAGATGTCAGACACCTCCCCGCAATACACGGAGCTGAAGGGGGAAAACGTAGTTACACACGAGCACAACCAATGACAATTAACCTTGTCAGACTGTCTTGATGATTCGTCACCTCAAGTTTGACGCCACACAAATTAGTTGGCTTTATTTAAAAAAAACGAAACATTGCTGTAATGCAATCGTGAAATGTAATGGATGACTTTTCAGAAAGGGTACTGGACTTCTGGTGCAGAAGATTTTGTTTGTGGTGAACATCATATCACATTGATATAGACAGAATAGTTTTGATATAGAAGGTATATAATGGGGTAGTTTACTTGCCTTCCTTATGAAAGGCTGAAGGAGTTGATGGATGAGAATTGTAAAGTTCAGTTTATATACATTAACTATATATTATAGATGTAAATGCAATGGAAGTCTTTCTCATTTAAATATATGTGTTCTGTTTATGTGTCGGACTAGGTGCCTTTGATAGCTTAGGTAAATTCCTTAGTTTGATAGCAGGTTAGACTTTCATACCCTATTAAAAGAAAGAAATGTCTCTTAATTTTACCTGTGTGACAACCCTGAACAAATTATATTGTAGGATGGTTAAGATATTAGATATATCTGAACAGTTGTTTAAGCCACCATTTGTAAATTTCATTTAATGGTTTATCACATTATTGAAGTAATCTGATGAGTCTACTCTTATTTCAAGCATTGACCTTTTGCATGTAACCTGCCAAAGTATACATTTGTTGACTCATGTTTGTGTCCAAAATACTTTATTTATAGTTTTTAGCACCCGAGAAAAGTATTTTCCTCGGTAGATATAACTTTCATCAGGTATTAAAAAGAAGCATAAGTTTACAATCAACTTACGGTATAACTATAGCATGGTATATGTTTACCTTTAAATAGAATAGCCCATTGTGATAAAACTGTCATGTCTACACATCTTTTTAGTGGTCATGTGACATCAGTGCTAATCAGCCAATCAAAATGGTGCTTTTATTAACAGTGTTTGATATTTACCTTTCTGTGCGACCTTATTGAGATGGGCAAGTCTGCATTTATTTTAAGTATCCGTTTTATATTTAATGCATGATCTTTGAATTCTTCATTTATGATCTTGTTCATCCACCCTTGTACTTAATAACGGGGCTCGTTATACTAATAGTCATAAATGACTACAACTGCATTACACATTTAAAAATACATGATCAGTTTGATATTTAAATGCAATATAATAAGTATGATGCTACTGGCTATCAAGTTATATTGTGCTGTTAGTAATTATCATAATCATACAAAAAATAATTACCAAAGCTGTTGTTTTGAAATTCATGCCAAAGCAAATATCTTGTGTGGATTCACTGCTGAACCCTATTTAGAAAAGCATGGAAACATTTAAGATAAAGTATTGTTTATTTATATAAACTTATTATATTGATGTGTGTTTACGCTCTTCAGTGACAACCATGATAATATGAAAAGGAGCCTCCAGGGCTGAGTGGTTTAGGTTGCAGACTTCAAATCACTTGCCCTTCACTGGGATGGGTTCAGAACCCAACAGGGGCATCAGATTCTTGTATGTAAGCTCACAGAAGAAATTTACAAAAGAATGGTGGTTCTAATTAGGTGCCAGCTTGTGCCTAAAATAATGCATGAATGGGCACAGGAGTCGCTTCCACCACATACTTTAACTTTCTAAAGCCTATGACATTTACACTTACAGTGTTAGTGTGACCTGGAACTGAACAAAATAAATATGAAAAGAAAGTTACAAATATACTTTTTGATATTTATATTGTAAATTTCACAAGTTTGAGCTTTACATTCATTTATTTATTTATTCTTTGTATTACTTATTTTCTCTCTTCTTTTTTTTAAGGCAAAAAATTGAAAACTCATTAATTCCATGGTATGATAATGTTAGAAAGTCTCTAACAGGGCAAAGTGTATTTTTTATTGAAATTTAATATTAGTTGATTCTTGTAATTTTATTGTTATTTATTTTTGTTAATGATGTAAATTATGACAATGTTTGCAAACTTATGATAAAGTAGGTAAATATGTTTATGCTTTTCATCATATGCAAAAGATTTCCATTTAAATATATACATGTACTGTTATTAAAAGAATTATTGTTATAATGAATGTCCTACTATTTATCAAAGGCCTGCATTACATTTGATAGATACCAAAAAATTTGAATATACTCTGCAAACTAGTGGTCTGAAACTTTGGTGCATTTATCATTCAAGAAATGGATGGATTACAAAAAAAGAAGTGCTAATACTTTCATGTTGTATGTTTAGTAAATATATATAAATGGATGTTGATAGCATTAACTCTGAATGTTAGAGATAATAAAAAAGCTTTTGCTACAAATTTAGAGTTTGGCAAATCTTCAAGTCGAACCAGCCTCTTTACTGCTGGCTTAGCTCATAAGGCAGAGCACTGGGGTTACTTGTTCGCTCCGCTATCATGTGGAATTATCATTTTTTGTCGGTCATTTGCCTAAAAAAAGGTTATTATAGGTTAGTTATCCAAGAAAGCTGGTTAGTTGGATTGACAGCAGAGATATGACCAAATTTTTGTGTCGCCTTGAAAAGGTGACATATAGGGGTTACTTTTGTCGGCGGTGTCGGCGTCGTTGTCGGCGTCCCCTAAAGCTTGTCCGGAGCATAACTCAGTCACTATAAGTCTAATTGACTTCAAACTTTGTATGCATGCTTCTTTCAATAACTTGAAGTGCAGTGCACAAGGACCGGTACTCTGCAGTTCTTATGTTTTGAGTTATTGCCCTTTGTTAATTTTCATACTTTAATTTTAATTTTGTCCGGGCCATTTCTCTTCAACTAAAAAAGCTATGGACTTGAAACTTCATAGGATGATAGATCTCATTATTAAGAAGTGCAGTGCACTAGAACCAGTACTGTGCACTTCCTAATTTTTGAGTTATTGTCCTTAGTTAATTTTCATACTTTATTTTTGTCCGGGCCATTTCTCCTAATGTATAAAAGCCATGGACTTGAAACTTCATAGGATGATAGATCTCATTAAAAAGAAGTGCAGTGCATAAGAGCTGATACTCTACATTTCTTATTTTTGAGTTATTGCCCTTTGTTGATTTTCTTACTTAATTTTTGTCCTGGTCATTTCTCCTCAAGTATGAAAGCTATGGACTTGAAACATCATAGAATGATAGATCTTATTGATAAGAAGTGCAGTGTACAGAAACTGCTGCTCTGCACTTATTATTTTTTTAGTTATTGCCCTTTGTTATTTTTCATATTTCATTTTTGTCCTAGCCATTTCCCCTAAACTACATTGTTCACAAGGCGACCATCTGACTCGCGGAGTTCTAGTTTTTAAAGCGATGCAAAATTCCTCAATCCTAAATAAAAAGTCAGACAAACTGCTGGTTCATATTCTAAATTTCATGCATGTGCTGACGGCTTTGTTTTTTACGGGCAAAAAATAAATAAATGTATAACTTATAATGTATGCAAAGGACAGCAGTACAATTCATCAGTGCACAAAAAAAAATCCAGTTGTTAATTATTCAACAATATAATCCCTATTTGTACAAAAATGGTTTTGAAAGAAAGAAAACAAACTGTTAAAAAGCATAAACATATTTTTCATATGGATTAAATATGATTTTGTTACTATGGATTTCAATAGCAACAAATAAAAAATGAAAAGAATTAAAAATGGTTGTTGTTAATCTTTTAAATACTTAATCTTGAATGTGTATGCTTTGTGAATGTAAAAGGTAATATGATAATGATCATTTCAAAGAAAAAGAAAAAAAGAAATTGATTAATCCAAAAGGCAGATATTGTTGATTTTGAGAAATCATGCAAGTCTTAATACATTTGTCTTAAATAATCAGAAAAAGTTATCAAATAAATGATATGCTAAGTTCAGATAGCAAAATCTTAAGTGGTGCCTTAATTTATACTTCGATGTTCAAAGGTTTTGTATATCCAAGTTATGAAAAAATCATTAAACAATGAAATTGTCAGTGTTTGTAATATAAGAGGATTGAAAAACAGTTTGAAATAAGTAAGTCAAATAAAGGGGCTTATGAAGACAAACATGAAAATTTCTACCTGAATTAGAATATGACAAATGAAATGCATAGTGTTCATCGAATTTTATTCACTGTTACTTGTGCCAAATACAACTATAACTGAGGAATAGAGCCAGTACATGTAGTTTGCAATATCAAAATACTGTCTTATACAGGGTAAATATGATAAATGGATGTTTCTTTGTAATATGGAACTTATTATATAAATGTATACATGGACATCCTTAGAAAGTAGTACAACAGTTATTCAGTATTAAACTTGTAGTCATAGAACACACTTGTGTCTCTTATTTCTCATTAGAGTTCTACATTGCCTACTTGTGATAAACTCACATACAAAAGCACAAAATAACTTTGTCAACCTGTCATTTTGTTGTTAAATGACGGTTCAATTTACTGTAAGATAAGTGACATGAGTATGTAAAAAGTTGATATTTTGAAAAAAAATGTCCATGAACAATGAGTAAGGGCCTGAGGCTCTAATATTACAGTCAGTACAGATAATTAATATATCAGTAATTTAAAGGCTACAGGAAAAGCTGTTTTAACTATGTAGGATGACAGATTTTCTTTGATATTAATAAAAAAGTATAATTATCTTAATTAATTATCTTTACAATTACAATAATTAATTGACAAACACTGAAAGGCCTGCTCTTTTTTTCTCCACATTTTGTACTGGTGTCTTTTTCTTAATTCATTATTTATAACCTGATGAAACTGGTTTTAACCAGTTTTACAGACAAACTTATGTAACTTTCTATAATTCTTGTTTGTTGCCAAAGGTAGATTGTAGATCATAACGCAAAAATCCACAGGTAAGTAAACGTGATGTGCCGCACAGTAAACTTGTATATTTCTCTTTGCAATACACAATCTTTTTTTTTAATGATACTTAGCATTAGTATTGAAAATTAGTAAAAAATTAAGTTTTTTTTTTGTCTAAACATTTAAATATATTCATGCATTTGCATGAATTTATTTCCTTGTATTTTTGAATTGCTGCAATGTATTGCGTTTTGGACACGTGGTATTGCATGTAGTAATTTCAGTTACGAAACATAAACATTAATGGCGGCCCCCATGTGCATTAAAATTACGTAAACATTTTTCAATGCCTGTGCAAAATACAAGTGGATATTGAATGTGAGCATCGTCTAAAGTTTTTGCCTACTATTTCAGAGGAAAATGTCTGCACCTATTTAATTTGATTCTGGAAAAATCACGGGGAGACCCTTGTAAAAAATATTCTTTTCAAACTGCTCAAAATTAGGTGAGATTTTGTTTATTTACACACGACTAAGAACATTAATAGATTTTAAAATACTCAAAGATTTGTTTTAAGATGATGTAAATTAAAGCAATCATCAAATAAAAACATGATTGTTATTAATGATTGAGAATTTTCGAGATTTTCATGTAGAAAATAGAGCTACAAATTATCTCCCCTGAATTATGTAAATTAATGTTATAATGCTAGATGTCGTAGATTAACTTCTCTGTATTCATTATGAAATCAAGGAATTTATTCCACAACGGTACAAGTTTGAGTTGCTTCGCATCTACTCCTAAAAAACTGCATTTTCTGGTTCAATGATTTTGTTAGAGTTATGGCCCATTAATGGTTTTGATTTTTTATGCTTGTCTGGGCTACTCCACAGACGCTTGGGGTTTGGAGCTCAAAACGCCTTTAAAATCCAAATAAAATGCATATTTGTCAATCCCAGAGATAGATAGATAGATGTACTGATCATATATATCAAAAAATCTTAATATATGCCGTTTTGAAAAAAAATCATATATATATATATATATAATACTATTATTATAGATGTTGAAATATGATTTTTTTTCAAAACGGCATATATTAAGATTTTTTGATATATATGATCAGTACATGTCCTGGGATTGACAAATATGCATTTTATTTGGATTTTAAAGGCGTTTTGAGCTCCAAACCCCAAGCGTCTGTGGGCTACTCACCTTATATAAATTTAAAGCTATTTCAAAGAAACTCTACAGGATTGATTGGTGTTTTGCCTTGTGTCTCCTGCTACACTGTATAGCTGCAACATGCAATTGGCAATCATGAGTAGGCACATGTGATCATCTATGTTTGACCTATATACATGTGCATTTTTTTGTTTCTTTAAACAATATGAAAAATATCTTATGATATTAAGACAAAATAGATGCCATCAGCTGCAATCATCAGACCAACATGTCTTGAAGGGTTGATAGTTTTTGTGATTTTCATGTGTAACTGTAGAAAAACTAAAAATTCAAATTATCTCCCATGATTTAGAATGCTAGATCTATGTCATTATATTATAAGCGCCTGGTACTCATAATATGTCATTATATTAAAAGCAATCTACATTCATTATAATGAAATTTAATTATTAAGGTATTATTTCCTCTCACAACTATTTTTTGATGGATAAATTAGAAGGGTCAACTTGACCCTATACTTACTTGGAACAGGTCAACTTGACCATATAACAAAAGCCTATTCGGATATAGACCTTTAAAGGAGATTGCTTTAGGGCTTAGTTGACCCATTATATTTTTGACTTGCAGGCATGTCTAAGTCCTTGCCAGGTGTTCATATTTTTTGGTAGACAGTTAAACTATCTTCTTTGATACTCTCAGGAAAGCTTAGAAAGCACAAGATTATTTGGCCTTTATAATTTTCATATTTTGCTCTGGAATGTTTGGCAATTTGTTCAAAGCTATAATCATATAATGGGGGTCTGAATTTATCAGATTTGATTTATATTAAGTTTAATTAATTAAAAAAAGTCCAATTGGCCAATAAGAAAAGATGTCTCTGTGGCCAGGTGACTTGTCTGCGGCGCTGTATCCATGCCTTAATTGGGATGAAACAGAATAGATTGGTAGTATGCATCTATGTGATCTGCAATGTGATATTTTTATGTGCAGTGCATCAATTGCTACTCACTGCTAGGGGTTTCACCGTTTGAATCCTTTCAGGAATCTGCATTCTTTCATATAAGAAACTATCCAGCTAGTATTTGAAACATTTGTTGTTCTACTCTGGTGTATGTGCAATAATGCCTCAAATAATGCACAGAGGTCTTCCTCCACTACTGAAACTGGAAAGTGGAAACCTTTATAAATGTTAACATGACTAAAAACCAAAAAAAAAAAGGAAAAAGAAAAGAAAGAGAAGTAACTGTGTTATATACATTGTAATATTCAATTTTATTTCTATTGTAGAAAAATGATTTCAAAACTCATTGCCAAATACCCTGTGATCAAAACAATGAGTGCATATTTTTGTATCAACGTGGCTGCAGACTTCAATGAACAGGTGTTATTTAAAGGACGCACAAGAGAAACATATGACCGTGGTAAAACTGCAAGAATTGCCGCCACTTGCACCTTCGTCACTTCACCCATAATGTTTGTTTGGATCCGATTTATAGATAAGTAAGTTGTAGTTTTGGATTTTTATCATCAATTTCAATCAGTAATTACTATTATAAAATTTTAATTACAATCAGAGCTAAGTTCTTAGTTTTCATTTTGAAGAAAAATATATTTCAATTTTTGTTCAAACAAATGGTATAAATTTTAGTATAAGAGATGTTTGGCATGGCACTGCTTCTCATATACATTGTATAAGTTATACTATTTTCCAGGGCTATACCAGGCAAAGCTTTGTTATCTGTCATGAAAAAAGTGCTCTCTGATGCTTGTTTTTTCGCACCTTGTATCATCTCAACATTTTATATCAGTAAGTGAAACTTTCATTTTGTTGATTATTTTGTCTGTAATAATATAAGGGCTAATCACCTTAAATAATGATCACTCTGGATTTTGTGAGGTTCCTGCAGTGTTTATGTAAAGAATTGTCTTAGGTATAAAAAAAAAATGTGTTTTCATCCTTGGGAACAGTTTTAAGAAATTTACATTCAGTCAAAACTTTTTTCATTTAAAGGGACTTCACTGAGGTGGACTGAATTTTTTTTCCCAAGATTTGTATACCATTATTTGATGTACCGGTCTGAATTGATAACTTGTGTGCAAATTTTCAGATCATTCACTCTGACTCACATCTTTTTTCTCAGAATGATAAATTTAACTTGCACATAATGATCCAAAAATAAAAGCATCACAATGCTTTTCACTCAAATTATCATACTTAGAATTGCATCAAATATACATGTAGATTTTCAAGTTAATTCTTAGTACATTTCTTTGTAATTCATTTCAAATTTTTCCATTTAATTTTCTTTACCAGCTATATGCATGTATAAACATGTTAGATTTTTTTGGTCATAACCTGAGTATAGCTTAGATTGTATTGTCATAATTGCACAATGAAAATGATTTTGGAAAAACTGTGTGAGTGAACTGAATGATAAGAAATTTTTTCACGGAATCTATTTGTAAAGACCTACATCAAATATTTTAAAAAGCCACAAAACCGTCATGTCAGAAAACCTCTGTTGAGTTCCATTAAATATGAATTATAACTACTTTTGATGCTAAGAAAAGCTTACATTTTAAATGAATTTGTGATTTTTTTTATTCTCTGTCACGTACCAGTAAAAGTTTCGAAATAATGAATAGTTTGATGTAACTGTTTATG